AAGACCCTGATGCTGGGAAAGATTGAAGGTCAAAGAAGACGGGGACGGCAAAGGATGAGATGGTTAGACAGTGTCATCGATGCAACGAACATGAAATCGAGCAAACTTCAGAGGACGGTGGAAGACAGGAAGGCCTGGCATGATCTGGTCCATGGGGTCGCGAAGAGTCGGACTCGGCTGTGTGACTGAACAACAACAAAAATTATTTTATGCAAGGGAATTTATAGATTTAATTTCAGATGTGGTTTTTAATCATTCAAAAGCATTTTTATTTCACCTTTCTCCATGAAAAAGGTTACGATTTTGTTTTCAAAACATACCTCAGAATAAGCTTGTTTCAAAACATTGGAGCTCCTTCCCCAGGGAGATTTGTCCTTTTCCCTCTATCGGTGTCTTTTGCCAGCTGGTGAAGACTTTTTTGTTTAATCCAGCATATCCCCAATAATGATTACTGGCCCTCCTTCTAGCATTGATTATGTGTTTTAATTGAATTATTTTATAATTTTAAGTCCATTTTAATTGTTTTAGTGTTTTTATGTTTGTTGCTTTACCTCGGAATCATACAGTTGGGTTTTTGGTTGCTTTCCCCTTAACGTTACTCCTTTCATAACTGATCTTCTTTCTTCCAGGCTATTTACAAACTAAAAAAAATGTGCCGGCCTGAAGAAGCAGCAGATGCCCCCGGTCTCACTCCAGAGGAAGTTGTTGAGAGGATATTTCAATTAGTGGATGAAAATGGCGATGGTAAGACATGTGCTGTTAGGATGATAGTGGTGCCTGTATTTGTAACACTGTTGCCAGACAGATTTTTAATTGGTACACTGACATTTGTTATCAAATAAGTATCATTTTGTCATTTTAAAACCTGAGGCTGGTGGGGTTCAGTTCATTTAAACTTTAAAGGATATTCCCTACATAGACATTTTTGGACCGCAAGCTCACTGTCTTTCTTCAAATTTATTTTGTCCACAATTTTTAATTAGAACTGAGCAAAATATTAGGGCATTCTGATTATCTTACCAAAAGTTGTCTTTTGTGTTTCTTCTGGCTCAGGATGCAAAACCTTCTCTGGGCTTGTTCTATTCAGGTTTCCTAAGGGCTTTCTTAACTGTTTAGTTGAAGGGAGTACAAAAAAAAAAAAAAACCAACCAAAATACAGTGTTGTGATTTTGACAATAAAAAGTAAACTGGGTTCACTTTACCATTCTCAGTACTCATAATGCTGATTGATGAGAATCTAAAATTACTTAGTCTTGACATTCTGGTAATTGTTTTCCAACAAAGAATGAAAGCAAAATCGTCATCTTTGGATACTGCCAACATCGGGATTCTGTCAACATTCACGCTCCGTTCCTCCCCTCTTCTTCTTTCTTCTCCTCCAGTGAAAAAGTTGATGATATGTGACAGAGGAAAGAATCTTGGTTAGCAAATTGTTAGTTAAGGGGCACTGATGTGCACACATACTGAATAGATGGGAATTTATTTGTTCTCCTGCATCTTTGACCCATTGTCACTGCACTCTCTCCTGCATTGATTCTCTAGGGCAGTTGTCTCTGGATGAATTTATCGATGGAGCACGGAGAGACAAGTGGGTGATGAAGATGTTGCATATGGATATGAATCCTGGAGGATGGATTGTTGCACAGAGGAGAAGTTCACTGTAGTTGCCTACGTAACTTGGGAAGTGTGACAATGAAAAGGTTCTGAATATTTCACTTCCAGATGGTACCATCAGGTGATCACATCCTTTCATGCTAGAACCATCTGAATATCCAAAAGAATGCTTCAGACGACTCTGAGAAACTAAGCATCCATATCTTAAACATGTGTACTGAAAGCAACATGGAGTGCTAACATCTGAAGATCACTGCTGACCAGCCAGACTGGAGAACATATGAATACTTGCTGTTCTGTTTATTGGCTCACAGTTACAGTTGCATCCTGAACAACTAAAGTATGATGTCTTAACCTGAAAGCTTAGTGGCATTTGATATGTTCAGAACACACAAAGTGACTGCTGAGTGAGTCATCCTGCTTTCTTTGTAGATCAGTGTATGCTGTTTCATGCCAGAGGAGACATAAGTTTGCTGAAATAAAGCAGGTGCTTTTGTAACAGATTTTAAAGAGGTGGGTAGACTCTTATGATATCTAAGTTGTGTGTTCTAATGGTCTTGTTTACTGTATAGACTACAGTAAGTGTCCTGCTGCAAATTTAAATTATATGAACATTGTCTCATCATGTGAAAGTCAGACTTTCTGACATAGTTTATAACATTCCAAGCATGCAACCAAATATGGTCACAGCAAAATACTGTATTTAGGCTGCGGTCACACGGAGCAGAAAGCACGCAAGAGGGATGGAAGAGAGGCGGAGTTTCCGGGCGCGATCTCAC